TATTATTGGGGGTGGGAAGTTTGCAGTCAGTCAAATGCTTAGGCTGGATTTGGCATTATTATTCATGTATTGAGTCCTTCCCAAGAACTTGGGATAAGCAAATGTGGTTGTTGGATGGTATTTCCTCAAGGAACATAAATGAGCTTTTCCAGAGGGAAAGGAGATGATAAGCAGGCTGAGTTATTATATATATTATATATAACTTGAGTTATTACATTGTTGTAATGGTAGTTTTGGTGTTATATAATTTTATTGTTGTTGATCATAAGAAGTCCATATGGATAATAATAATAATAATAATAATAATAATAATGATGATGATGATGATGATGATGATAAAGTTGGAAAGGACCTTGGAGGTCATCTAGTCCAACCCCCTGCTCAGGCAGGAAACCCTATACCATTTTGGACAAATGGTTGTCCAGTTTCTTCTTAAAAACTTCCAGTGTTGGAGCATTCACCGCTTCTGGAGGCAGGTTGTTCCACTGGTTAATTGTTCTAACTGTCAGGAAGTTTCTCCTTAGTTCTAGGTTGCTTCTCTCCTTGATTAGTTTCCACCCGTTGCTTCTTATGCTGCCTTCAGGCGCTTTGGAAAATAACTTGGCTCCCTCTTCTTTGTGGCAGCCCCTGAGATATTGGAATACAGCTATCATGTCCCCCCTCGTCCTTCTCTTCATTAAACAAGACATACCTCATTCCAGCAACCGTTTCTTATATGTTTTAGCCTCCAATCCCCTAATCATCTTTGTTGCTCTTCTCTGTACTCTTTCTAGAGTCTCAACATCTTTTTTACATCGTGGTGACCAAAACTGGATGCAGTATTCCAAGTGTGGCCTTACCAAGGCATTGTAAAGTGGTATTAATACTTCATGTGATCTTGATTCTATCCCTCTGTTAATGCAGCCTAGCACTGTGTTGGCTTTTTTGGCAGCTGCAACACACTGCTGGCTCATATTTAAATGATTGTCCACTAGGACTCCGAGATCTCTCTCACAGTTACTACTATTGAGCAAGGTACCCCTTATACTATACTTGTACATTTGGTTTTTCTTGCCTAAATGTAGAACCTTACTTTTTTCACCATTGAATTTCATTTTGTTAGATAGCGCCCAGTGTTCAAGTCTGTCCAGATCCTCCTGTATCCTAAGCCTGTCTTCTGGAATGTTGGCTATTCCTGCCAGCTTGGTGTCGTCTGCAAATTTAATGAGTTCCCCATCTATCCCCTCGTCCACATCATTGATGAAGATGTTGAAGAACACTGGGCTCAGAACAGAGCCCTGGGGCTCCCCACTACACACTTCCCTCCATGTAGATGCGGTTCCATTGAGGACCACATGCTGAGTATGGCCGGTCAGCCAGCTACGGATTCATCTGGTGGTGATGCTGTTTAACCCACATTTTTCTATCTTATCAAGTAGTAGGTTGTGGTCTACTTTGTCAAATGCCTTACTGAAGTCCAAGTAAATTATATCCACAGCATTCCTCTGTTCCACTAATTTTGTCACTTGGTCAAAGAATGCAATAAGATTTGTATGGCATGATCTGTTTTTGACAAACCCATGTTGGCTTTTAGTAATGACTTGGTTTGCCTGTAGGTGTTTACTGATTCATTGTTTGATTATCTTTTCCAGAATCTTCCCAGGTATTGAGGTCAGGCTGATAGGTCTGTAATTTCCTGGGTCCTTTTTCCCCCCTTTTTTGAAGATGGGAACTACATCGGCTCTTTTCCAGTCCTCTGGTAGTTCCCCTGTGCTCCAGGATCTTTGAAAAATATAGTTCAGTGGTTCTGAGATCACATCTGCCAGTTCCTTAAGAACCTTGGGGTATAATCCATCTGGTCCTGGTGATTTGAACTCGTCTAGGCTGGACAGGTGTTCACTTATCATTTTCTTGCCTATCTTAACTTGTATTTCTATTTTGTTTTTTATGGCACTATTTTTGATAGGTTGGTCTGTTTTTTCTCTTTGTGGAAAGACAGATGCAAAAAAGGAGTTAAATAGTTCTGCTTTCTCCTTGTTGCTTGTCACCTTCTTGCCACTTTCACCCACTAATGGACCAATTGTTTCCTTCACTTTTTTCTTGTTCTTTACATGTTGAAAGAAGCTTTTTTTTTTTTGTTATTTTTGACTTTGGTTGCAAGCCTTAGTTCATTTTGAGCCTTAGCTTTCCTCACTTCATCTTTACTTGATGATATATAAACTAAATAAATCGGTCTAGGATTTGTAGCCAATTGATTATAAATCTAGCTTTTTTAAAGCATAACTATTTAAGGTATCAAAATAATTTCTTTATTATGAGCTAAGTTTAAATGTATGAACTCTGAGTCTCCCTTCTATGCTTCCCTGATTTCTTTTAACAGCTAAAGATCACTTTCTATATTTTTACCAGGTTTACCAATGTAATACTTAAATCTTTATAGCCTTTCCTGAAATATCTACAGATAGTCCTTCACTTACAATCACAAATCGGACTGGAACTTCCATTGCCAAGTATGTGATCGTTAAGTGAGTAATTCCCAATTTTATGACCTTTTTTACCACAGTCTCTAAGTCAGACATATCAAACTCGTGACGTCACGTGACATCGCATAACGTATCAGAGCTTTTTTGCCATTGCTGGCAATGGGGTGGGCGCGGCTCCGGTATGATGAAACCGGCCCACGGGCCGGCAGTTTGACATCCCTGCTCTAAGTGAATCTGGCTCCCCCCCCCATTGACTTTGCTAGTCAGAAGCTCGCTGGGGATGGTTGTAAATTGTGATCACATTGACCCTGGAATGCTATAACCATTGTAAATACATACTGGTTTCCAAGCACCTGAATTCTGATAATGTGACTCCAGGGACATTGTAATAATCATAAATGCAAGGACTGATCAGAAGTCACTTTTTCCGCCACCATCACAACTTCTAATGGTCATTAAATGAATGGTTGCAACTCAAGGACTGTATACCTTTTTCAAAATTTAGCCTTCTCTTAGGCATCAATTTAAAACTCATCTATTGCTTTTTTGAAGTTATATGCCAGCAGACTGGCACCATTTTGGTCAAGCAAAATCTGAGTTCAAATTAAATACTTCATATTCGATACACACACACACAAGCACACAAACACATTTGTGTGTGTGCCTGTGTGTAAATTATTGACTATGTGCCATCAAGTCATTGTCAACACTTAGTGGCCACGTAGATCAGGCATGTCAAACTCACGATGTCACGTGACACCGCACAACATATTGGGACTTTTTCCCCATTGCTGGCAATGGGGTGGGCATGGTTTCGGTGTGACGCATCTGGCCCGCGGGCCGGCAGTTTGACATGCCTGACATAGATTTACTCCATGATAACCTGTCATTAATCTGGTCTTTAAGGTCTTTTCATGGAGCATAGTGATGATAAGAAATCACTATAACTGAGTGTATACAATGACCAAAGATTCAAACAACAAGGAGGGCTATTTTTAATGATTGTACTCTTTCTAGATTTCAAGTACTTGCTACTACATACACTACAGGCTGATGGAGCAAAACCAATTTTTTATAAAAAGATCACTGTGGGACTTACTTTTTTTCTCATTTAATTTGCAAACTGAATTGGCTGTTCTTGTTTATCTCAAAACTTTTCTTTTAGGAGGAGGCCATATCAATACAGCTGGGGTTATATATCCCATTACATTTCCTATGGTATGGAGTTTTCTATGACCCCCACCCAACTGTCTTGAAACAGGCCTGAAAACCCTCCTTCTCCCAGGCATTGGATTAATCTGTGATTGGATTCCTTTAATCACAGGATGAAGTGAGTGCATTTTGGATTTGCTCTCTCTGGATGTATACTTAATTGTTATAATAATAATAATGATAAAGTTGTAAGGGACCTTGGAGGTCATCTAGTCCAACCCCCTGCTCAGGCAGGAAACCCTATACCATTTTGGACAGATGGCTGTCCAGTCTCTTCTTAAAAACTTCCAGTGTTGGAGCATTCACTGCTTCTGGAGGCAGGTTGTTCCACTGGTTAATTGTTCAGGAAGTTTTTCCTTAGTTCTAGGTTGCTTCTCTCTTTGGTTAGTTTCCACCCATTGCTTCTTGTCCTGTCTTCTGTTTTTAAGATGATTTTTTTTCCTCTCCCCTTTCTATTTTAAAGCTGCCCAAGTAGATATTTGGAAGCCAAGAAATTGGATGAATGAATAAGGAGATAAACACTGTTATAGCTATAATCTTACACATACCCTCCATGAATTAACCTTATTGAACCCAGTTGGATTGCACTGTTAAGCATACAAAAATCATTTTACCATAGGTAATTATAAATTCTATGTTTATAATAATAATAATGACAAAAATATCTTTTCATAAAAATCATGTAGGAAATAAATCAGGCATTGCTTTATTTCTGAGAGAAGGATATTCTGCCAATTTAAGTGTTCTGAAATGTGTGGGCAACACTGATTCTTTAAAACATATACAAGATTAGAAATTTTGAACTGATGATAGCTGCTGTCAAATCTCATGTCAACACAATTATTTTTCATATTCTGCTTTCCCATTCACAAACTTTAAGTTTGAAACTTAAAAATGATCCAATCACCTATCTGTATATTGTACTTCAAGCAGCAGAAGGGAATTGACATTCTAAATAAATAAATGTTTGCAGAATCAGAAGAGAAAGTTAAGAATATTTTCCCACTGGAGATGAGGGTGGCTTCCATACACCTGGCCTTCCAGAAAAGACTTAAATCTGGTTCAGCTGGCTGCCTGGTGCTGATAGGGGTGCTCTAAACTAGAAATGATTGATGGGATAGAGATAATCCCCACATCACTTATTATCTTGGTTTTTAGTTTAATCTTTTTCATTTTAATTGATTTAATTTTTTTAACCTTTTTATCAGTTTTAACAGAAGTTGCCTGTGTCTCTTAAGAATGATAACAAATGCAGACAAATGAACATTCTTCCAGTCACATCAGCAAACTGTGTGTACACAAGCAACATTACAGGTTAATACTTACCACGTTGAAATTAAGATTCTTTTCTACCCACTCTTTGGCTTCTTTGAATTCTTCCTTCATTTCCATGATATACAGTGTATCTAAGGCATCAACGATAGTTGCTCCTTGAATATTACCTGAAAGAGAGTCAGCAATTTTATTGATAAGGTCCTTTTATTCTTCTTTGTGAAGAGAGAAGTTATAGCAATGTTCATGTGTAAATTTCTGGACCATTAGTTAACTGTTCTAGCCCATTAGTATAATTTGTATTGATACTATTAACAATAATAATGAGAACTTACAAAAATTGAAATAGAATAAAAAAACAGAAAAAGAAAGAAAAAAGAAAAAGCTAAAAGTGCAGAAAGAAAAAAAATATAAAGATAAAAAGAAGCTTATGATCTTCTTCATAGTAGTTATATCTCTCTTCTTTCTATAATCTATCCTATTTGATATCAAAACCATAAATCATAGGTTCATTTTTTTATTTTTACACAAAAAGCCCACAATGGGTTTCCAGTTACCAATAAATATAGCTATTGTGTTTTCCTTAACCAAACATCAGCGAGTTATCCCAAAGGTGTTTTTTCAAAAAGAAAAAAACAGGAAAAAAACTTTTGAAAAAGCACCTTTGAGACAACTATGACCTAGATGACTGAGAATCTCCACCGACATTTTGCAAGTTCTATTATTCCTCCGTTGTAGGTATTGCCAATTTTTTCCATGCTTATGCCTTCAATAATCTCATATATAAAAACAAAGTTCCGTGGCTCTTTTCTAATTGTTTAACCATCAGTTCCAGGAAGAAAAGTTCTAGTTAATTCTGATTAACAAATTCTATTATCTCATTTGTTTGTTAAATTATCAAAGCTTCTCAATGATTGATAATAAACATTCAATGGTTGATAAAATACATCTAAAATACATTTGTGGCAATACGGACACATTAAAATGTCTAGAAATGATGAGTATTACTTCTCTGGCAGTATTACCCAAGTTAATTGACCCCCCACTGGCAAATATCTTACATCAATATCTTACACCAATACATCAAAATCAAGAATATTTCACTGTTCCAGATCTGTTGTGTATGTGAAACTTTCAATTTCTCAATAATACCTTAAATTTGAGTAAGGGAAAAACTGAATGAGTTATCAAAAATTCAAGTAGAAAAGATAAAGATTTCTCCTGTCCAATCATGTTCAGCTCTAGGGGGCAGTGTTCATCTCCGTTTCTTAGCTGAGGGAACCAGCATTGTCCAAAGACATTTCCACGGTCATGTGGCCAGCATGCCTATACGCTGAGGTGCATGGAATGCTGTTACCTTCCCACTGAAGTGGTACCTACTCGTATTTGCATACTTTTAAACTGCTAGATGGGTAGAGCTGGGGCATTAACGGGAGCCCATCCCATCGCACAGCACTTAGCTCTCAAACCTGGGTTGTCAGCTGGAAGCTCAGCATCTTTAACCACTGAGCCATTGCACCCTCTCTTCAAGTAGAAAGCATGACTAATATTTATGAGAAAACAGTTGTGTTGTTAGTTGAGCAATGATATATTAATTAAAGTAGGAAGTAAATATTGAGATCAATGCATACTGAGCAAAGAGAATACTGCAATTCATGTAAAAACATGAATTCAGTATATCATGCAATATTTTTTTAGTTTTATGTTCTGTTTAAATCTTGCACATATTCATACAGAAGTAACTCTTACTGATCAATCCATATGCATTTTATTAATCTACCATTTATTCTGGGTATAAGCCCAGAGTTGCTTCATATCAAAATTGTTTTCCTATACAGTGCTCGATAAAATAGTTTGTAACAATTTGAGTGAAAACTGGGAAAATATCATCATGTAGTTATTTATTTTATTCAGAAATATGCAATGCTTCTTAAAGATATGTTGGGAAGGTAGATTCTGATTACTTCTGCTCTTCAAAAAACATCTTACATCATAGTTCAAACAAAGTAAAAAAACAAAATTATCTACGAAACATATTTGCTACCTGAAAAAACTCTATTTAAAATCAACATAGAATAAAATTATTAAGCAAACAAAATTATTTGCTTTACCAATGAATCTTAGAATCTATCTAAGCTGCCAAAAGGAAATGTTACTGGATTTTAAGTAGTTTAAAGGTTATAAATACAAACTTCAGTTTATGGCGCCAGTAAACAATTCAATTTACTGACCATTTCTTAATCATTTTTAAAAGCAGTGATAGTCTGCAAAGAACTAAATGTCATCTGACCTTTAACTGTGTCATGCTGAGCAGAACTCACATATCTTTTGGCCCTGAGTTCAGCTTTTTAAACAGATGCTATGTAAGTGACAATCTTTAATCATTCCTAACTCACAATATCTGTTGAATGCACAACTGCCTGTAAACCCACCCACCCCCCACATCTCCCCAAAAACCCATTGTATTCTGGAAGTAGAAAACTTGCATGTTCCTGACGCACTGAGATCAAAGTTGAAAGGTCAGAGGGAAGAGATTTAATATAGAAGAAGGCACAGCTGAGCAGAGTGGAGAAAGATTAGCTAGAAAGCTGACATCATTAGGGAGGATACTAAACATATGGAAAGACCAAAAGTGCTTATGTATGAAAGACATTTTTTATATTATACTGCCATATGTGGATAAAGAATTACAGGCTTTCTAATAATAAAATGATAAGAGAAAGCTTATGCAGAGCAATATTATGTGCAAAAAAATCAGTACAGTACTGTACTTTTTATACCAAATGGTTTTCAGACATTAGAAACTCACAGTCCTGAAAATAGAAATTTAATTATACTAGCTAATTGTTCATTACAATGATTGAACATTACACAAGATAAATTGAGTAACTGGAAAGGAACCAATATTAATGAAATCTATTTTTTTTTCCAGGCACCTATTGCTAGGAAGCACATATGTATGCCAACAACTGGCATGATAGATGAGCATATTAATATTTAATGTCTTAATTTTAAGTATTTCCAGTCCTTCTCCTTAGGCTGGATCTAGATCATATTTACTAGATAATGAATTCCACTGCATTCTGTAAGACTTACTGTTAAATAAACATATATAAGATTTATATTATTAGGATCTAAAAAATATAGGAAACTACTAAAAATGTGAGGGAGAGTCATTCATGCAGTCTGGATCTCTTGAATGCAAAGGATGTAGATTTCTCTATAAATATTTACAAACATTTCAATTAAAGAAATTCTAAAAAGCTCTCAATTTGTTTGAGAAAGATATTTAAACCATATTACAGTAGTTTATTAGTTCCTTTGATTGAGACTAGATGATGATGGTTATTTTTTGTAATGTTTCATTTTATCTTTCTTACTGGGATTGGACTTTGAAGAGAGGAAAGGGGGATTTGTTTAAATTTGTTTAAATGGAAATAGATATAAATGTAAATGGGAGGATTCAAACTGGGTGTAATAAATATAGTTCATAATACTTGCGTTTTTACTTTCACTGGACTTTTTTTTTACTAATACGAAGAGATGAAAATCTAGAGATGGATTTATAGACTCCACATGAATGGTTGTATTTTAACAGATAGTGATACATTGTTAAGGTTGATTATGCTTGCTGGAGGTGAAGGGAGAAGTAACTTATTCTATCTTTCTTTTTTATCTGCCCTTTTTCAAATTTGCAATTCTTTAAATGTATTTCTGTAGAATGCACTCTTCATTTAAAATTATTCAAAAAACCAAATGTATTGTGGAACCACAAAATACAATGACTTAATGTTATTTTATTACACTTAGTAGCTATATAGCACTGGTTGCATATGCCACTATTTAGCAAAAGAAAAATAAGGGACTTGGCAGTTTCATGGATAAAATAATCACATTTGGAAGCAATTATTTTGAAGAGCTGAAACCAAGTAAAGTAGACTGAGCTGCTACTTGGAATACTGATATAAGGCGGCTTCCTCTATTTCTAGAAATTAAGAAAAAAGCAAGAGCACTATTTTCCACTGTATTTTTCTATAATGTTATACTCTGGGTCCACTTTCAACCTTCTCCTCTTAAATCTCAACATACCCATCTCAAGATATGGGAAATGGGACTCTGAAAATGAGCACTTCACTCTATGATTTTATTCTAATTCTAAATTCTAAGTTAATCGCACACCAATAAAAGAATAATGATTTTATTTTCATTAGAGTACAGCTGGGGAGAGCAATGACATAGATGTTATATCAGTGGTTCTCAACCTTTTTAATGCCACGCCCCCCAACTGGTTGTAAGTCAAGGACTACTCAACCGGTCGTAAGTTGAGGACTACTCAACTGGTGCAGCACCCTTTGCAGAATGGGACTTTTGGCGGGCTCAACAGGGCAGAGACAGCCTGGACAATTCCTATTGGCTTTTGAAAGCCAATAGAATTAGACTCTATTCAAGAATAAAAGGGAGTAGCATAGCTAAAGAAAAGGGGGAAAAAATGGTGGACTGCGTTGTTTGGCGACCCCCGTGAAATGGTCGTTCGACCCCAAATGGGGTCCCGACCTACAGGTTGAGAACCACTGTTATATGGTTTCCTCTCCTTCAACTCCCCTTTATTCTTTCTTAATTTGGTTCAGAGAGTTCTGTTCTCCCTGGAAAACATGCAAGCAGATATATCTAGGGCAGCTACTTCAAAGTCTTTCAGCTCCTCTCTAGGAGTTAAGTTCACATCCAGGTGTGTTGGTTGCTGCTAGACTTCATGACTACTGTCAGTTAGCTGGCTGTGTTTTCACATTGCTCTTATCAGAATGTCCTGCAGGAGAGTGCCTGCAGGACACTCCATGAGAACCCAACTGTTGAAATGCTGGTGCTTTGAAAAAATGGCTGAAGAGTTGCCTTTTTAATGCCTTTTATCCTGACACTTATTCAATGACAATTATTTGTTTTGCATTTAATGATTAGTCATCTTGAAAGGTAGGGTGTCCTGATGATAAACGGATAACATACAAAGCATTTCTGGTCCAGCATTATGTACACTTTATGTTTCCATTCCTTTTAATAACTCAGCTATCTTTTTAAAATTTTACACACCCAAATAACTTAGAATTTTAGTCTGATTATCTACTTGTTAAATATTGCAGCAAAGTACACTGTGCAACAAAGTTTACTGCCTAGCTAA